ACTAGAGTAAAAGTCATGTTATTTGTAATACCCCAAGAGGTATAAAAGGACTTGGTTTTAGACCAAGTCAGAATCATAATGTTCATAACAATCTCTTAATTATTGATCTAATAATTAATATTTTTCCAACACATTGTAATAATAAGATTATTATCACTAATAAAACACATAACATATTTTACCCTAAATAATAATCTCTAATTAATTAAAAAACCTTTGCTGCCCATAGCAGTTAACCAGTATCTTAACTATCAAGAAAGAGACATCTCAAGGGGATGCCTTTGGGATATAATTACATATATAGAACCTAGGGACCCTTTTATCTAAAAAGATAAAAGTTATATTTTATTAATTTTTGACTGTAAGTCAGCGAGTAGGCTGTGTGTCAAACACTAGAATCAACCGTAAGTCAGCGAGGAGGCTGTGTGTTGAACCATAAATAACCTATTAAATAGGAAACTCGGATTGCACACTCGCAATACTATAGGAGAAGATGAATTGCCAGAAGGAACATCAAAAGGAGCTAATACAACTTTAAATATGGTTTTTGATTTTCTCCAAAAGATTCATCATAATGGTGAAAAAAATTTATATGTGACATGTGATAATTGTTCAGGTCAAAATAAGAATAACCTATCACTCTGGTTTTGGTCGTGATTAATAATGTTGGGTTGGTATAGATATAAATTCATACTAAGCTTAAAATCTTGGTTTCACTTTGGCATTGACTTGGTTGTACTGGTTTTATTCAATTTCAATCTGGCTGATACTTTTCTAGTTATATATTTATTAAAAAAGATTATCATAAAAATAATTTCATTTTTTGACCCAATTCGTTTTCTAATAATAAAACAAAACAATTCTTTTTTTTTTGTTTAATTAAAACACTTTTATGGTTTGAAATTAAACAGTAGAGTTTAATTGACCGCTTGTTTTTCATCTGCAGTTTAGGTTTCGTCAACTTCGCCGCAAAATTAGGCCTTAACGATTAGTTCCGGTCATCACCCACTAGCCTTGTGACTTTAATTATGTATTATTTCATGAATTGTCTTGAATTATGTCTTGCGTTACGAATTGCCTTGAGTTACGTCTTGCGTTACAAATTGAGCTCTACATCTTTTGCATCATGAATTATGTTTTGCGTCATGCATGACACAAATTGCAGCTTTTAAACCATTATAACTGTTTCGCCTTTTATATTTAATTAATTATTATTATTTGAATTTATGTAAATCACAAATTTTCTTATTAACTCGAAATCAACCCGAAAATTTCGGGCCGGGTTCGGGTCGGTCTCGGGTTTGCCTTTAAAACATTCGGACCAAGCCCGAACCCGACCTGTTAGGGACCTTAATTTTGGACACTATTACCAGTTATTATGAAAAGCCATTTTGGCATTTTGAATTTGGCAATCATTATATTGATTTTGTCTAACCGAAATAAACAATTTAGAGCAAACACCGTTACTAATAAAAGTCAAAACTCAGAAGTGATCAGGAATAAACAATAGTAATAAAAAACTTGTACAAATTTGAAGTGGTGTTATTTAATGGGCAGCGCCACTTTTCTAAGTGGTACTTTTTCGATTTTACAATTACTCCACGTATAAATTGTCAATTTTTTTGAAATGTCTATTGAATGCGTGTAACACAGATCTATAAAAAGATTTTTAACTATGTTATGCAAAGTAGATATGATTTCTAATCCAAGTGAAGAGTTGTATATAATAATGACATTAACTCAAAGTTGCTTTTTACGTTATGGTCCTTTTCACTAAGTTTTTTTTTTTGAAATAATAATCTTCTAAGCAATAAAAATTTGCGTTATGAAGATCAATGTCAAAATGGGGATTAGTCAAAATAATTGAATTGGGGGTGCTTCTGATTAATAAATAGATAAATAGTTATGAATCTTTTAAAAAAATATGAAAATTTCATTTTAGCTAATGCATCGCAAATAAGTTCGATTGAAAGTTCTTTAAGAACTTTAACTTATGTTTTACCTGGTAATAAAATAATTTCTACAAGAAAATTTTCAATCTGCATTATTTATTTATTTTCGTTGATTGAGAACATTTATATTTACATATTGTTTGATTGTTAAATAATAAATAAAGGTCGATTTGCTGATGCTGAATTTGCTTCGGAAGCATGTATGTTATAAGATAGAAACAAAATATCTTGAGTTTTATTCTTTATCATCATCATTACTAATTATTATTAACTGTCAAAAATAAAATCTTTGTAGTATTTTCAGCTTTAAGTTTAATCGGATTGTATCATGATTCAATATTGGTTAGAGCATTGGAGAAACTACCACCTTATAAAAAACCTAAACCATCACCACACAATAGATACACGAGATATTGGTTAAATTCTTCAAAAACATATCAGTATTCTTCATTTGCTTTAACATTATTACAAAATATTGAGGTTTTGTTGGAAATGGGAATGCAAAAGAAGTTGGGTAAAGAAGATAAATGGAAATATATTACTATCATCGAATCAATAAAGTATGATATATTTTGTTTTCCAAATAATAATAGTAATAGCAATTAATTAATTATATATATTATTTTTCCCAATTAGAGTGATTTGTAGAATTATATTATTATACAAAACTCATAATCGTACTGTAATATATCCATCAATACCTGGAAGAGAAATTGATCCTCGTATTTTCAATCCAGAAGAAACTAAAAATAATAACAATAATTACACATCACTATCATCCTCCTCTTATTTTCCAATTGACAAATCTACTAATGATTTTAATTGTATTGAATCAAAAGAATCTGAAGGCTGGATTGGAAGAAATACTAATAATAGATATGATAATATTTCAACTATTTTTCATAATAATAGTTATTTGCATGCCTCTGATATAAACAATTATTTGATGAATAAAGCTTTATTAATTGAAGATGTTGAGAAGCCATCATATTTAGTACATAAACAATATGGTTTAGGAATCATCAGTGAATTGTTATACATTATTAGACCTTTAATATATGGTACTTTCTTCTTTCTTTTGACATTTTCCATTGTCATATTAATTCTCATTTATATATTTTTATTTTTATAATAGTTCTTACTCTTCAAAAATATGGAAATAAATCATGGAAACCTTGGCTGTTATCCATAATCATAGAAATATATACTAGAGTTCTTACCAATTATTTTCATAAAAAAATCTCTGGTGGATCACATCAATTGACAAGTGTAGAAAAGAATGAAGAAACAAGGAGAATAAAACAATTATTTTTGTATATTTTAAAAGGGCCTTTCTATGAAAAAATCACAAGGTTGTTTATTTTTTATATTATATTTATTTATTTATTTATTAAAAAAAATTTTTTTTTTGAAAATTAATTGATTTTTTTATTTCAATATATTGAATGAAAATTTAGACCAAAAATTGATAAAATTTGTCAGTCCATTGGTAATAAACCGATCCTATCGTTATTTGGTGGTATTTTAAGAGATTATCAACCTATATGGGAAAACGTTTATTTCTACAGTAAGTTTTTTTCTTTTCTTTTTTTGAAAAATTTTTTTTTGGATCTAATTAAAATTTTTTTACATAGCTGCTGGTTCTTGATATTCGAAAATTTTTTTTATGTAAATGATATTATATAGTATCGTGAACATTATAAATTATAAAATAATCATAGTTTTGTTATATTAATCAGTTGATAGTATCATATATATGTAAAATTGTTTTTTTAGGGAGGGATAATAATTTTTTTCCCCTCTTTCAAAATATGTATTTAATGTTTGTAGGAGGAAAAATCCAATAGATTGTAAAATTAGACATTTTATTAACAATAATAATAATTATATGAATAAATTGTATGGAAAATTTTTTTCTGAATTTTAAAAAATTAAGGAATTGAATAAACTTGTGCCAATATTAAAACATTTACACTACAAGATTACACAATGACGGTTCCATAATAAACCTTAATTAAAACCCTTCTCGATATAGCGGATATCTCGGTTTAACGGATTTTTGGAAAATTTTCCCTAATTGCCCAAACTATCCGCTAAATCGAGATTCACTGTGTATTATTATCATTTATTTACGGCTGATATTTGTTCACGAAAACTGGAGATGTGGGCTTTTTAATTCGAATATATAGATAAAAAAGTTAAAGCGATAATTCTTTTGACATCACAATGTATTACTTGATGAGATTTAATGTTTTTATTTATTATTAGCACTATTAAATCCTTTGTTATTAAAATTTAACACGAGCATTTTTGTAAAAATAGTAACATATTCTATCATTCCAATAAAAAGATTTCCGATCCTAAGATTATAAAAAGCTAAAAACGACAATTAAGAGTTCTTTTCTTGTTGAAGAAGTTGTTGCTGCAATTTGTATTTATCTTCAAATGTAAATGGAAAGTATGCGTATTTTAACCATCTTTATCCTTATAATCCGGTCCCGTTTACTTCGTCGAAAATTATTTCTTGGACAATCATTTCGTCGACACTCATTTCATCGAAAGTTTGTTTCGTCGAAAGTTCTCGACAATTACTTCGTCGACAATCACTTCGTCGAAAATCACTTCGTCGAAAATTAATGTCATCAAAAGTTCATTTTGTCGAAAGTTCATTTTGTCGAAAGTTCATTTTGTCGAAAGTTCATTTTGTTGAAAGTTTGTTTTGTCGAAAGTTCATTTCGTCGACAGTTTGTTTGTCGAAAGTTCATTTCGTCGGCTTATGTATCGTACTAATGATAAATGAGGTGATGATGGTGATGGCAACAATA